GCAGGTGTTGGATTTGAAGACCTTAAATTAGTGATTGAGACCATAAAGTCATCATGAAGAGTTCTCCGGTGAGGATCAAGAGAGCCGAGGACGTTTCTCATATGTTATGGAATAAATGATGGTTCCAAGTTTACCTTCATGTAGCAATAACTGTCACGGACACGAGAAGTATGATATAGATGCTTTTATTATGGAATATTAGTTGATATTAGAGAACACAGGTGGGCGTTCTTGCGTCAGCAGCTGTTCACTTCTGAAGTTGTAACCTCGCACACGGTTTCATAAACTTCCTCCTACGCTCTCTGGATAAGGAAACTCATTATGTCTATCTACAGCTGCCGGCTGTCCTCCAGCCAAAACACGCAGTGCTGTCAGCGGACTGAGGTCATTGTAGCCCTACAAGCTCCAATAAGACTAACCTTCTCTCAGGCCTGAACAGTGAAGCAGCATCTGACAGACTCGTGCTGTCACAATAACCTGGACCTAACAGGAAACAGTGGAGTTTGAAACTCAAAGCGCTGAGCTCTCGGTCCTCTGCCTGCACAGAGAGGAGGTAGAGAGGGAATATGTGGTGTGAGTATCTTCACAACAGATCGTCACATTTAAATCCATCGTCTGCATCAACACCTGCTGACTCAACTTCTCTCAAGCTGCATCCACGCTGGCCAGGATAGATTTGAAAATGGCGTTTTTGTCTGAAAATGCTCGGCGTCCATGTTTTCTGTCGTTTTCACAGAGTTGTGCGTCCACATTGAAACGGCCGAAAACGCCTACGTTCCAGACCTGCGCATGCGTGAAACGCAGGAAGATTCGACCTGCCTCATTTCTGTCTGCTGCTAATTTACTTTCCGGCTCTTTGAAACGTCGCAGCAAGATGTCGAGGAAAAGCAGCGAGTTTGTTAAATGGACTCACAATAAGGTGGAGTTGTTGCTGCGAGTAACACAAAAGTACAACGGTGCAGAAGTGAGTGAGAATACAGGGCTGACAAAACTGAGAACAAACAAAACAACT